CTTTTCACAATTTCAACACATATTAAATGTGATTAAAGGTAAAATAAAGATTCAAAACACCTTTGCTTAAAGTTGAGTAAAGACATGCACCTTTTTACAATTTCAACACTACATTAAATGTGATTAAAGATGTAAAATACCAGAGCAGAAAAGCTTTGTATATGTAGCTTCAAGGTACCTTTACAACTCATTTCTCTTCGCAGTTAAAGACAAGTTAGAAACCTTTAATTCCCTTTAAACAAACTTTTCTCATTCTTTAATAGGTCGTCTTTAAACATCTATAATTATGCTATAATTTGGACATTTAAAGCCTCCAGAAAAATCTTTAATCTGCATGCTGAAAGGAGAGTTTAGGTACATTTACTAAATTTAATCAAACTGATTAAATGTGAATAAAGCCGCCAATAACATCGCATTACGCCACCTTTAACCATGATGATATAGATTCTTGTTAAATGATTGTTGTATTAATCTGGGTGCCTCGGTTAACAGGACTAGTCAAGCTCGTGTAAATAGCCCCTTGAGTTATTAAGACTAGTTGGCAGAATAAAATAGCAATAAAAGTAGTTTCAACTTGCAACAAATCGGATGTTGGTACATGTAAGTTGTAGTGTTGTTTTTACAAAGGGAACCAAGTAAATGAAACTTTAACATTTAATGTATTCCACTGTGTACAAGTTGTACAACCCCAAAAATGTAAACAACACTTTGATTTGATTTTAGTTCCATAAATCTATATTTTTTATCCATATTATCAATCCATATTTAATTTGATTTTAGTTCCATAAATCCATGTAATTTAGTTCCATAAATTTAAGTTTTAGATCCATAAATCTATTAAGATCCGCAACTGTCCTACATGCACAAATGCCATCCAATGTAATGACCTAGATGATAACAGGAAGCAGTTTTGTTTCTTCAAGGCCTTTGATCAAACAGAAAATACATTTGAAGGTTTCATGTTCCAACAAATTGCTTTCTGGACTACATCATGAAAGATACAAAAATTGTTTTTGAGGTTGTGCATTTACTACAGCTTGAAATTTGCCAACCGTGAACTTTCCAACACTAAAAAGAAGAACAGAAAATATTTGTAGGTAGCACATCTTTAAACATGTGCACTGGACAATATGCTGCATTGCCAAAACATTTTACTTAACAGTAACTTCTACAAAATCTTTTACACCAAAGTACATAAGAACTGAACTGTAAGATACAAGGTTGGTGTTAAATCTAATGTTGATGGTAATCATACACAGGAGAAATTACTAAGATGTTGTTACACTGAGTAAATGTACACCAAGCAAGCTGAAAAATCAACTTGACCACAGTAAAAATGCAGCCTCTGGTTTTATTCCAGACTGAGCTACACAGTTTGAATGTGCAATATTTTATTATTTTGGAGCTTATTAGTCTCGCTTCTTCAATATTCTTATCTCTACGATGGTAAACCTAACAATGCTGATGGTAATTGATAACAGGTGAAATCATTAATTAAGATGATGCTTGCTGAGTAAATCTATATGAGATTGGTGTGTTGCAATTTTGGGTCATGAACTGTAACTTCTGGCAAGTTAGTGCGCTCCACCATCAATTGCTTGATACAGATGTGAACAAATATCTTACTCATTACTGTTATCCAGCAATCAAAGTTAATTAATATCAAAGTTACAAATTATAAACCAGTTATGGTGAAAATGGATTCTACTCGCGCAGTTTACTTAGTTTAGTCCAAAAACTTTTTTGTTAATTACGAAATGAAGCCCAGTACAAAGACATCACATCCCCTTTAACTGATCAGGTATATAATTTAGTACGAATATAATAGTAGTACGAATTATAAAGATATTCACAGTATAATATGCACCTAAAATTAAAAAAATTCAACCTACTGCGTTCTAAAAACAAGACATGACGCATTTTTCTTTAAGCTAAATTGAATAGTAGTTGCAATAGTTTCAAGTTACACTCAGAAAAATAACATAATGCGTATATATCCATCGGTGCCAAAACAGCACATACAGTTTGCAATGCGTTTAAAATGACAATTTTAGCATAATTCAATAAGCTTTTATTATAATAAAATGAATAATCTACCTTTCTTTAGTACGTCCTGAAAATTTCAATGACATCCACCATAAAATAACGACGATATACCCATTTAAAGTTATGAAATACAAGTTTCGCCATATTAGTCCCCGAGCCGACGGCGCGAAGCCCCGTGCGAGGGTACTAATTCCCCCCGGCTATTTACACCCGGGGAAGCGAAAGCATTAGCGACATAGAGATTATAAATAACACTAGAGGAGGCATTGTAATCTTAATTCAGTAAAAAAAAGGGAACGCGACTATTGGGGGGAAAATTCAAGTCCCGGATGTGTATTCGTGTTCCCATTGGTGACGAGTTCCAAATCAGCCAATGAGAGCACAATTTTATATCCGGGACTTGAATTTGCCCCCCATTAGCTGCGTTCCCAATTTTTAACATCGATGCCTCCTCTAGTGTTATTTATAATCTCTACTAGAAGTTACTATCGCAAGGAAAGTGCTGCCTCATCCCCAAAGGATCAAAGGCAGCACGCGCAATTTGCTGAATGATCCCGCTTTGTCGGGACGAGATATGAGGCGGAATGATTTCGATGTTTTGAAATAAGTCACGGTGCACAATTCAGCAAAAATCTTCATTATTTTCTTTAGAGATAGATTTATATAGTTAACTGTAAACGAAAAGTTGTTCAAGCAGCAATAATAATCTTCTTGTTGAACTACAAGATCTTCTCTACAACATTTAAGTGCTGTTAACAAGCATGGTGACTTATTTCAATACATCAAAAGTCATCCCACCTTCCATTATGTGAACAGCCCCTAAGACACATGTTCAGGAGGTAGGAAAATTGCAATTTGAATACCAAACACCTTGACCAAGGTCAAAGGTCAGCTAAATATTCTAATTCTAATACAGTCAGTGAAGCTAGGTCGCACGTGCGATTCCCACAGTGGCCAGACATAGTTTTCAAGCTTGCCCGGTGTGGATATACACTCAGAGTAACATCGCAAGCATCATATTCACTTGAGTACATTACACCAACACAGAAAAAATCAAGGTTATGCTACAGCTGCCTCGTCCCCAGGCGCTAATTAAAAATTTCATGCGAGTCACTATATGAAGGTTTACATGAAGTAGTGCATCACATTATAGGCGCGCAAAGGGGAGTGGGATATGAGCGTTCTGGTTAGCGCCTGGCCGAT